CTTGAGCACAAAGTAGAATATAAGCAATTTGATCCTTGCAAGATACTACTAGCCTCTTATGTTAGAAAATAAGAAAAAATATTAAATCCAATTGGACCAACTGGTAAAATATTGATGAGGAGGTGACATATTCAAGTGGAGTTTGAAGTAAAAAAAATATGTAACTCCAGTCTGAGGAACTGTATAAATAAATGTGTGGTGTTTGAGGCAGTAATAATGAAGCTGAAATAACGGGTAAACTGAGGAAATAGCAGGACAAAAGTTTGGAAAAGCGTGTTGAGTCAAGATCACAAACTCCTCAGGTGCTATAAAGACAATGGAGAATCACCACAGTGCTCTGAAGAGTGGTGTAGACAAAATCCAAATGATCAATAGGTTGGCCAAGGAAGATTAACAATAGAGTGAAATTATTATTATTATTATTATTATTATTATTATTTTAATTTGCTATAAGGTATGAGTGCTTGTCAGAAAGACAGAAAAAGGAAAACTGAGAAAGCACCCCCCCAAGGGGCATGGCTGAGCCACAAGCCCTTCTCTCCATTATCCTCTCAGAATTTGGGGCACATTACTCATATGGCCTGTGTGTTTTCCAAGTCATCAGGTCCAGGCCTGGAACCACATAGTCAGCCATGTGAGATCCAGCCACCTTAAACACCATGCCCAGCTGACCTGAAATATTTTTTTTTAATTGCTAGAGGGCATGTGTTCTCACCAGGGAGAGAGTGAGAGAGAAAGAAAGGAAAAGGGAAAAAGGGAGAAAGGGAGAGTGGGAGAAATCATCCCCCCAATGGTGTGCGGTTATGCCGCAATGCCTTTTCTTCTATTTCTCCATCCTGTTGAGACTTGGTACATACATATACATATACATGGTGTATATGGTGTATATGCATATACATATACATGGTTTCTCAAGCCATGGTGCTTGTATTCAAACCCCATTGGTCATGTGGGATCACCACTAGGCAACAGGATTGACCTGAAAATTAAATTTTAATTAGGCAGATGTAATAGAATAGGATACATTTATACAAAAGGTTGACTATGAATTATGTGTGTAATAACAGAGAAAAGAGTGTGTGCCTGCATGCATTTGAGCAGAGGAGGAAAGAGAGAGTATAGGTGAGCCAGTTGTAGAACTTTAGTTTGGGTGAGCAGAATAAAACTAGAGATGACAATGAACTGAGCTTGGGACAAGTTGATTGAGGTGTTTCTCAGTCATCCCTGGGAGAAAAATGCTAAAGAGTAAGGGATAGATATGCATAAATAAAAATACATTTCAAGAGTAATTATGAGATTTTGTAAAAATGTGTTTCTGATAGCTAGAGTGCAAATTCTCTCTAGGAGATTTTAGGCAAGTCAGCATTTTAATCTGAATTTATCTTTCTTCAAGCTGAAGTAGGATGCAAACTTTTTTTTTTTCCCCAGATGATAATCTCATGAACTTTATGGTGTTCATTTGTATTTAATTATCCTATCAGAGAAACTGGATTTTTCTTGACACTTCTGCCTTTCTCATACTCCCATATATGTATCTTTGTACATCTAAGCTCTTCATCTGAACTACTTTGAATCCTTCCCTTTATTTATTCATGCCCATGTCTTTTTCCCATCAGTTTCAGGCAAGCACTACCATTCCTCTGAACTCTTCCAAAATAAGGATGATGCAATTTTATTGTATGGATCATTGTAGTGCTGTGAACGAGAAAATAAGAAGGCTTATTCTCCTCCCCATTTTTGTAGAAAATCACAAGTGGTGTAATGCACTCACATGCAGAATATGACAGATGGTATCCATGAGTAGCTGAAGGATTATAATTTCTTTGACTTGATTTTAAGTTATTCAAGAGTTGTGTATGGGGGTCAGCAGCTAGTGTAATGGCTATGTCGCTGGACTCCCATGTAGTCGACCGCAGTTCAAGTCCTGGACCCGGTGGCTTAAAACTCACGCCGGGCATGTGTACATGTGTGCCCAAGATCCCGAGAAGAGATTGCAGTGTGGCCATCCCCCTTGGGGGTGATTTCTCACTTTCTGACTCTCTATCTCTGTCTTTCTGGTGAGTGCACAAGCCCTACAGCGAAAACCTCTACCCCCTCACCCTCCCCAAAAAAAAAAGAATTTTGTTTTGAGGCTAAAAATCACTTGAGGACTGGGATTGTGTTGGCCGCTGAGGATAAACCAGAAAATCAGACACACACAATCTTGAGCTTACAACCAGGAGAGAAGATAGACATTTTAAAATGACTATTAAAAAAGTGATAAATTTTATGATAAAAATGTTAGATCATCAGAAAAGTCATGACTCGTTTTTGTATAAAAAAAAAAGAACAGAAAAATATGTTATGACCTTTTGGACAACCCAATATTTTTTTCTAAATAATCTTGTAAATCATAGAAAATAGAATTATACTCAAGCATTTAGCTATACACAGTGATATATTTTTTATCAATTTGACAGAATTTTAAACTATACTGTGGATACTATATGCTAGCATATCTGAGTTAACAAAAAACTTACAGGTCAATTTAAAAGACTGGTTTTATTCCAGATATGTGCAATACAAGGGGACATCAAAAAGTTCACAGAAAATGGAATTAAGGACAAGTTTATTTTGGCACAATAAAATTTTGAAATTTATACATATCTTTTCTTATAATATGTATTTTCTATGAACTTTGTGAAGACCCTTTATATAAGCAGCTAATCTAACAGTATGTAATGTTGATTACTGTCACTGGACTGATAGGTGTTCAGCATAGCAGCTGACTTAAAACCTGGGAGCAGGGAGCGAACTGCAGTACATTCTTTCTCAGGGTTGAATTACCAGTAACTTGTCTTTAAATATTAATGAGGAGGGTATTTGAATTAAAATGTGTCTTAAATCCAGAGTACATATCACCCTTTAAAAATAAATAATATCTTCCATGAGTGAGAGAAATAGACAAAGACAGAGATAAAGGACCCGAATAGGATCTGCTAGTTGCCACCCACCACCAGCCTCACTCAACCAGCCCCAGATGATGGGCACACGCATGCCTGGTGCGCTCGGAGAGCTTGAACTGATAACCTTTGCCTTGATAACCTTCCCATGTGGATTTGCCTCATGGAGTGTGGCATTTTTACTGTTGTGCTACCATCTGCCTCCCCTTCTTTTAAAACTGTACATATTTATTACTCACAATTCAAAATAATATAAATTAGTTTATCTTGTCATAAGTCTAACAGAAAGTTGTGATATATAACATCCAATATTTATGATTGTTCTTCTATTTTGACAATGAATAAGAAAATAGGGAATAAATAAGAAATAAAGGAATGGGAAGAGAGAAAAGAAATCCTAGCTCTTATCTGAAACAGCACATAGCTTTATCCATCACAAAAAAGATTTTCATTTTTTAGCTTTTGCCGTAGGCCACATGCGCTCACCAGAGACATACGTATGTAGAGAGAGACAAAGAGAAATCACCCTGCAGGGAGGATGACCACACTGCAATCCCATCTCCTTCACTCTCCTCTTGGGATTTTGGGCACATACGCATAAGCACCCACCATGTTTTTCAAGCCACTAGGTTGGGCACTCAAACCACAGAGTCAGTAATGTGGGATCCAGCACTTAACTTCCACACCACCAGCTCATCCAAAGATATTTGTTAATTTGGCTTTGTCAATTTTGTTTTTCTCATCAGAAGATGAATAAGATATCAAACTTGGTTTCTTAATGAAATGCAAATTTGGGGTTGCAAAGGTTAAAACAGATTTTAAAACTTACAAACTGATGCTTTTAATATTTCTATTCTCTAATAGTACATCCACAACAAAATTCTATATATTCTAGACTCTTCTATTTCTTTAGATGCATATCTCTTTCTCACAGATTTGGCTGTTGGGAAAGTCATACATATTTTTCAATGCAAAGAAGCATCATGATTTTCCCGCTGACCCAATACTTCAGTAAGAAATCCAGTACTTGACTTCGTCTGAGGACAATTCATTGAGTCGTCATTTTAAAAAAGAAAATGAAAACCTCTGTGCCTCTAAAAAGTCAATGAAAAATATTTCCGGCCAATTTTTTCTAAGCAAACATCTTTCAAAATCTTCCCACTTTGCTAGCTTTAAAATGATAAGATAAAAGATGAGAAAATAATCACTTATGATGCCACATCACTGCGAGCCCAAAATGAGCCTGTTCAGAATCTAAAGTGGAAAAACAGAAGCAATGTTTTATAAAGACAAAGCCTGCCAGAGTCTCCACTTTTGCCTCAAGTTTGTGACTGTATCAAGGAAAAGCATCATTTTCTAGATTTTCTCCAATCTGTATGCTTTTATTCTTTTTTGTTATTCTTTTTCATTTATTTTTATACATTCATTCCCTGTGTATCACCACAGCTTGTAAATGAATGATCCCAACATGAATACACTGCACATCAGTCCAGTTAAAGATATCCTACATGTTCGTGTTATTGTCCAACAAGACAATCCTCCATTTCTGTATTTCTTCATGTTGAAATGGCCACATGTTTTCATGAAACTTAAAACTTTTACTTTATTTTCGTGTGTATGTGTAAAATATCTTAATCAGACCAAAAACAGTTTGAGAGAGGACATGATATGTATCATTTAGGTACTGGGTAATTATTTATGTTTACAAAGATTTCCAAAATTTGTTACATATTAAAATGCCTTTTGGGACCAGTAGTTAGCATAGTGGCTATGTCGCTGGACTCCCATGTAGTCAACCGTGGTTTGAGTCCCGGATCCGGTGGCTTAGACTCATGTCAGGTGCATGTGCGTGCGTGCCCAAGATCCCAAGAGGAGAATGGAGAAGGGATTGTGGCATGGCCATCCCCCCTGGAGGGGGATTTCTCCCTTTCTGTCTCTCTGGCTCTCTCTGTCTTTCTAGCGAGCACACACACCCTATAGGAAAAACCTCTAAAAAAAAAAAAAGAAAGAAAGAAAAAATAAAATGCCTTTTTACTTACTTTCTCTCCTTCCCTGCAGATCTTCATAAATAATGAGTGGCATGATTCCGTGAGTGGAAAGAAATTTCCTGTGTTTAATCCTGCAACTGAGGAGAAACTCTGCCAGGTAGAGGAAGGAGATAAGGTGAGTTTCTGAACACAAGTTCAGTTTTTACGCCAGGTTTGTTTCTTGCCATTCTGAGGTCCTCAGCCCCATTGTAAGTTCATGAAGGCTAGTCATGAAGATCGGGCTTCTGGGAAAATTTTCTGAATTGTTTTTGGTACACAGAGGGCACTCAGTTGTCATGTACTGATGAGAAGCCTATGCTGCCGAGTGTTGTGGTCATCTTTTCCCGCTACTTTTCATTATTTTTCGATTGAAATGGTGTCTAGATTTATGATACAGACTGCAAAGAAGGGATTGATCAGAGGTTTAAAAAAGAAATCCTTACTTATATAAAATTATTCTTTTTAAGTTACTAGGTGAAGCTAAAACTTAATACGGTACAGGATTTTAAAAGTTAATTCATTAAAATTATTCAGTTAAACTTAATTAATACCTACAAAAGTGAATTTTAAAATGCCTTAAATTGAAAAACAAAAGTTGTGTTACTCTAATACTAGTAATAACAACAGAACCCAACTTTTAGTTAGTGGTAATTTTTTAAAATTCCAAACGCTGTCTTAATATGATACTTCAAGCAAACCTATAGGACAGGTACAATTTTAGTCACTTTTACAAACAAGGATGGAATGGGGGAAGAGAAAGGTTGAGTGATGTTCTCAGAGTGACTTTGCTAACAAATAATGCAATTGGCATTCAAGGGCTGCCCTTTGGACCCCAGAGCCTGTGATTGGCAGGGCTACTGTTTCCCAGGTGATCATTATAAAAGTAAAACAGGGTCACTTTAAATAGCCTGGGAGATGGAGTCAGAAGTAGAAGAGCTTGCAGAATTTTGATCTGAACACATACCTACAAAAGTATTACTTATCTTAAAAGTATGTGTCTCTTGAACGTGGGTGCCTGGAGTCAGAAGTAGAAGAGCTTGCAGAATTTTGATCTGAACACATACCTACAAAAGTATTACTTATCTTATATGTGTCTCTTGAACATGGGTGCCTGTGATCCTGGTTGGTTGTGGGGATACTTCTCTCTCTCTCACTCTTCTTTCTTCTCTCTGTTTGTCTCACTCTCTCTCATAAAATAAATAAATCAGGGACCAGCAGCTAGCGTAATGGCTATGTCGCTGGACTCCCATGCCGACCGTGGTTCGTGTCCCGGACCCAGTGGCTTAAACTCAGGCTGGGTGCATGTGTGTGAGTGTCCAAGATCCTGAGAGGAGAATGGAGGAGAAGGGATTACAGTGTGGCCATCCCCCCTGGGGGGTGATTTCTTGCTTCCTCTCTCTCTGTCTCTATCTATCTTTCTGGTGAGCACACACGCCCTATAGCAAAAAACTCTCAAAAATAAATAAATAAATATTTTAAAATCAATAAGTTTTTTAAAATGTACATATATTTTTTTCTTTTTTTTTTAGAGAGATTTTTGCTATAGGGCATGTGCACTTGCCAGAGAGAGACAGAAGAAGTGAGAAATCACCCCCCCCAGGGGTGATTGCCATGCCACAATCCCATGTTTTCTTCTTTGGATTTTGGATACACACACACATGCCTGGCGAGTTTCAAGGCACCAGGTCCAGTATTCAAATTGTGACTGGTCATGTGGGAGTCAAGCAACATAACCATTATGCCATCTGCTTGTCCCCAAAATAAATATGTGTTT